CCCCAAAACCCCAAAACCCCAAAACCCCGCAGTCATTAATTTGATGATTTCAACAGGTTAAGAAATTTAAAATGAATATTAAGAATATTAATAAGGCAGTACATACCTAATATACTTTTAAATTAATTGATTCAACCTTTTTATATTACTAATGCTATTCAGAGACAAAAGCAAGCATAAGAATGACTTTAAGAAAACATAATCATTTGAATTAGAAGATAATCCAATTAATCAAGATATCCTTTATGTGACCTCCTTTTTGACTGAAGAGCGCTAAGTTAATAAGAAGATAATGGGAATCGAGTTACGCCCAAATATTAGCTATCTCAGTGGGCTAAGTATTTTCATAGTTACCATTACGGGTAACATGATGGTCTCTTTTCTCTCTCAGTCTACAAATATTCTCTTAAAAAACAAATTTAATATTACTGATGAATAAGAGATGATTCAAATAAGCAGTCTTATGGTTCTATACTGCAATGTTGCAATGATATTCGTGTGCCCTTTCGTAGGAGTATTATTCGATATTTTAGGAAGAAAAGTTGTTATTTCTTTCTTTTTCATTATTGCTGGTCCACTTTGTGCTTTATTACCTTACACAAAAAGTCTATGGTTTGGATTTACTCTATCACGAATTGGTCTTGCAATACTAACAGGCTCAATGATCAGCAACACTCTTATACCTGACTATGTAGAGAGGAAATGTATTGGAAAGTCAGTTATTTATAATAATTTTGCTCGATACCTTGGAAATTTCTTATCTCCAATCATATTCTTGACAATAATCATATACTACTCTATAACATATTCTTACAACTTAATGGGAATCGTGATGACATTAACAGGGGTAATATTGTACTTTACTATTCAAGAACCGACAGACTTGGTTCACGACTAAGACGCAGTGACACCAAATACTAATCACTAATTACTTAACGGTATACTAATGAAATTTCGAATTGCTATATAAGAATGTAAATAGAACAGAACTTTGATTTTTAGTTTTGCCCAAACATTTGTAGTGAGAATGGGCATTATTTTAGGATCTAATGCCTATAGTTTGTGGATCTTGTTAAAGATTCCTGATGAAGTGAGAGCTTTTGAGATGTTGGCTTTCAGCCATTCATTCTCCAGTTGTTTAAATTTTATAATTCAAATTCCATTAATAAAAATACTTGATAAAATACAACCACGACTACTGGTGATTTTCGCATAATCTTTGAGAGCTACAGTGCTATTTTTCAGTCTTTGGACTAATCAACAAGGAGAGTAATGGATAGTAGCTAACATAATATTAATGTCACTTTCAAATGGGATAGCGAACGTATCAAGAGATCTAGTTTTCTAGAAAAATCAAGCATCTCAATCAAGAGGAGTAATCCATGGATTCATGGAATTATTCACAAACCTAGGGATGCTAACATTCATTTTTATTTTTGCATGTTTATCACCTGTGATCGGACTATGCGGCTGCTTTTGCTTTCTTGGAACACTAGACCTATTGCTTTTACTGCTATCATTGTAATTCAAATTCACCAAACCTGAGAACTGAACTGTTGACTGACTGACTTATTACGTTATAAGTATATTTAACCCTATACATTAGGGCAAGTATTTGATATTGTACCTTAAAATCATTAGCTTTTCCTCAGATTGTATTTTTAAAATTTAAGCATTTTATCTCAAGTGATTTATATCCGCTTATTTTAATAAGATTAATTGCAAGTCAAATTTTGGAGTATTTGAGTCTAAAGGGGTTTTGGGGTTTTGGGG